GTTGTTTTTCTTCCCACTTGCGCGTATCAGGATGCAGAATTTGTTGAGAATCAGTGACGTTCAGTTTGGATGAATGTGTCCTTGACGTTAGGTTGCATTTGAATCAGATGCGTATCGGATATGGGTCGCATTCGAAAAGAATCCGGCCTGTGTTGTTCAGACTGTCATGAAAAGATCAGATACAGGTCGCATTACGTCAAAAAAATAAAAAAAATAAAAAAAATAAAAAATCGGTCACTTTATTCTGCAGTGTGAACGCACCCTAAGTTTATTCTACTTGGCGTCGCTCTTGTTCTACGTTTTATAGAGGTCTTTAGCCAGCTAGCAACATGGAGAACGTCTCGACGCGTGACGTCATTACCGCTTCTACTTGTCACAACAGCGCGGCGGAAGACGAGCAGCCTGGTAGCAGCCTTTCTCTGCGTTTGATCGTGGCATTTGTTAATGGTAGAAAGTACCGGAATGGCGACTGCAGGGAAGGGAAACTGGTACCGGACTGTTCCATCATCCGCCATACTATTGTTACAAGCGTAGTGAGCATGAAGTCAGTGCAGCTTAGCCTAGCACCGAATGTCAGCCATGACTAGGAACGGTGGGCGGGACTTCCTTCAAAGGTCCGCTCACCCTGTGGGCCGCACTATTATACTTTGATATCACGGTGGGGGCCACGAGACATAGCACTGTGGGTTGAAATTGGCCCGGGAGAATGAGACCTCTGAAATAGAGTCAGCACCTCTTCAGTTATTTACTATATAGAAACTAGAGATTGGGTCTGAAATCTGGGTGTAGTGATGGACTCAGACCTGAACCTTCAGAGCCACATCAAGACAGTAACAAAGTCACAAAGGAGAGTCTTAAGTGTCTGAATTCAAATTCAGAAATACTTTATAGATCCTAAAGACGATGACTGACTGTAGTGTGCTGAGTGGTGCAATTTGATTAATAGCAATAATGCAATTAAGTAAAGCTAAATGTTATTGGACCTCAGTCTACTCAATTCAATTCTGAAATACTTTACTGATCCCAGAGAGAAATTAAATAATCCACGTAGACTATGAGACTAGGACTCTACTTTACTAATCTTAGGTTAAGGCACTGTATGTATTCCTTAGAGGCACCTTGAGGTACCTAAGGACAAGCCAATGAGCCTTGCTTTGTTTTCTCACATTAGTCTGTGACCTTATCTTGGATAAGCAGAATACAATGTGTAGAAGGATTTCTTCTTTTATGTGTGACACAGTTCTGGGTTATTCACATTCAATGGTTTTTCAGTGTGGAAATTTGAAAAATTTGTGAAAATGCAGACAAACATCTTTCCAAATCCAAAATTCTTTACTGTGATATATTTGTCCTGCTCTTCCAGTAGAATGAAGAAATATTAAATAAGGAATCATTTCTAAACTCAGAAGGCTAATCTTGTCCTCCTGTTAGGATGTCCTGTTCTGCCTTCATCTCTCATTTCTCTCTTATTTTTCAACAGATGGTCGAAGAATCATCCTGGTTCTGATGCACCACACCCGAGACGCTGACTACTCAACGGCTGGGATACAGTGGTCAGAATGCATTGAAAACATCGTCCTGGATGTTCACGTTCTCTTTCACGAAAGTGTCCCAGGGTTACTGAGCTGTGATCAAAATCACAAGGCAGTGTTGCAAATAAGACATTTTTTAGAAAGACACAAAAAGAATTCAGATCAGAATCGGGCTTTGGTTGGGTATGGCTATTGGCTATTGTGTTGTGTTTTTTCTTGGGTCTTGTCTGATGACAGGTCTTGGATGAGGCTCTTGAACTGGTTCTGGCATCCAGACAGGCTGTGGGTGAGGCCTGTGATTTGGTTTGGCACTCAGCTTTTTCATTTGATTTCAGTTTTGCTGTCTTATGTAAGAAAACCAAAAGTTATTAAAGAAAGACTTCCTTAATACCATTGTTAACTCTACAACTTGTATGTGTATGAACAAGTTGTTTAATGTGTCTTACACAAACATAGTCATTAGAAAATGATCTATATGAACACAGGTACAGTTATATGCAGACTAGAAAACATTTAATAGGTTCCAAAGATCTTTATTATGAAATTGAAACTCTACTGAAAAAAAGGATTTTGCAATTGTTAGACTTTACTAAAATAAAGTGTTTATGATAGTGAAGCTGGTATAATAAACTGTCCAGTTAGTTGCTTTTTAATGAAGATCAAATAGATGCTTTGAATGAATTAATTCTTGTGACTCTTCTTAATGCATGTTGTAATCTTAACCTTGACCTTTGTAACTTTATAACCTCTGTCTATAACCATTGTAATATGATGTTTGGGAACTGTTTTCTCTGACAAATAATCAATAAAGCTTGAAAGAATAATAGAATATTATCAGCGTTGGTGTGATAATGTCACACACATAATACACGTTTCTGTTTAGCTCTTTTGTGTGCTGCAGTACTGAGTCTATAGAGATCTAATGAAAATTAAGGAATGAGGAATGAATAGCAGAAAACATCAAGGCTTGATTAAATTCAACCAAAACTTGTGAGAAATTGTGTTAAGGAACCAAACGTATACTTTTAGTTATAGTCTGTAAAGTTAACCCATCACCAAGACAACACCATATCTACAGGTAAATATGGATGTAGCAGCATCATCATCTGGGGCTTGTTTTCTTCAGATGGAACTAAATCTGTTGTCAAAGTGGATGAAATCAGAAGTAGTTCTAAATGTCTATCAGTTTTTACCTTAAAATTTAAGTGGAAAATTGGAATAGAATAGAAATAACTTTTATTATGCAAAATGACAGGAAAGTCAAAAATTCTGAATTCACACAAAAGTGAAAACATAAGGACAAAGATAGTGATCGTAAAGTCAGGTTTATGACATAAGAATACTGTGTAGTTCTTAACTATTCTATACTAAAATAATACATGCAAAACACTCAGTGTCACTCACTCACTAATCACAAGTATAAATTAAGAAAACAGAACCCATATGTTTATTGTTAATACCACATCATCTAGACTTTTATGTTAAGATTATTGTGGTACAAAAATATGTGTCTTTTGCATTCCCTGTTCATGTGTGTGATTTTATACTTTTACAATGTTAAAAATAAATAACATTATTTATTTAACTTTAACTTGTTAACTTTTTAGCCTGTTTAAAAGTAAGCTCAATAAGAGTTTTTTGGTCGGGCTTCTTATAAAACGTGACTGTCTGGTGCTTTAAAAAACAAAAACATGCATAGTCATAATAATGACTCATTACTATAAGACAGCAAGTTTTATAGCATGATACATTGACATAGTATCTCATAATTATGAATTAGCTAAGGCAAAGCTATGAGATACATTTTTTATAAAACTGGGCTTCCATTTTTATCTGAAAGTGAAAGTGAAAGTGATTCGTGCAAACTGCGTGCTTGTTGAGCAGCCTTCCTCATTCGGTGTCAGTCTCAGTAGCAGCACAGCAAAACCAGCAGCACGGCAAGAGGTATGAATCTATTAACTATTTGAATGTTGTTAGTGAACATTAGATAATAGAATAAAGTAACGAAAAAAGCAAGAATTTATAAAGGGGACTTCTACTTCGTATTGATACTTGTGACATTGCACACATTCATGCGTTATACCGCAGTGAAGTTAGCTTCAAGTTAGATATTGGAGCTCCACGAATCGATACGGAGACCTTATTCGTGGACGCGACCATCACGGGCTCAGTGATTACCCCTCCCCCATTGTCTTGTTTCTCTCTCACAACCCACTTTCCTGTCTGACCACTTTCAAACAAAGGCCACAAGAGCCGATAAAACATTTAAATAAATAATTTCAAGAACTGAAACTTGTGCATGAAATATAACTCACAAACAATATATTTCAAATGTACATTTCGGCTCATTATGATGGTTATATTTTGCAGCCTATTAATTGGGAAGACTCATAAACTGAGAAATTAGCTGACACACTCCAAATGGAGGCAAAGCCACTAAAGTTCATTGTGAAAGTAGCATTGGTGCGCTTGCTTATCCAAGCACATCAATGGAAAGTTGAGTGGAAGAAAAATCTGAAAAAAAAAAAGAATGTGGGACCTGCCCACAACGCCAAACATAAGCATAATTGATTTATGACCATTGTCTGCTTGTTTGGCAAGTAGACTTACTTGATCTGGACCCTATGAAAATAGAATTTGTAAAGTAAATTTATTTTTTGAGGAGTTTTTAATTTATTTAAAAACTTAACAAAATAACAACTGGTGAATGGCTGGATCTTCTTATGTTGTTGTTTGTGTTTGTTTTTGAAGGAGCCAGAAGATGCCCTGTTTTTCAAGTGAGTGATCATGTAAATAAGGATCTTGCTCTGATTTGCTCTGGTCTGTTCATCTCTATTTTCTGCTTTCTATTTCTGTTAAACAGTACCAGTTAAAGTTGAGACAATCACCACCGGGGTGACTCATGGTGCCGATGTGGATCTGATTGACCAAGTGAGAAGCAGAGTTAGGCTGGAGGGCACAAACCAGGATGGACAGTATACCATTGTTTTCTGTCCCATCGTCTCCCGTGTTGGTTCAGATGTGGAGGCAGCCATGCAAAACATGCCACGTAAGTAATCAGGCAACATTTTTCCTTTTGGTTTGCTGAAAAACAAATCAGACAAAGCTAGCCTGAGTGAATGCAAAAGCACTAATTTTAAATGCTGATCTAGTTTATTAAGGGGGAAAAAAAACAAACTTGAACCCATAAGGAAAAAGTATGTACCTTACTTGTGAAATAGTAAATTTACCACAATTTCTTTACAGTGCAGTTCAGCTTTACCCACCTGGCCTGTTGTACCAAGAACACATAAGCATGTAGGAAAATAGAGCTCAGAAGATCAATTGATCTAAATAAATTGAAGAGAAACAAAATCACTGACGTCCTTCCATCTGAAAAGGAGTTGAAGGCTGGGGCAGGACAGAGACTCAACATTAAGGTCAAATATTGACATAAACATAAATGCATAAATAATTACGACTAATCAAAGCTACTTATCTTCTTTCTTATGTTATTATTCAATAAAAAAAATATATCAACATAAGACATTCTCTTAAGGCAGCTTTAGGGTGATCTGAGGTGGTTTGTTATATTTATTTGAGCCGAGTGTCCAAACCTCATGGTAGAAAACATTTTGCATTTTGAAAAACAAAAGTCATAAATGTTTCTTATCCACCAAGTTAATCTAACAGATTGTAGCAATTCTTACAACAAAGATACAGGTGTGACATCAAATCACTTTTATTACCAATGAAATCTATAAGATTAAAGTTCAAACCATAGGAAGTTACTCTACGGATTTTCTCAAGACAGAGACTGAAATCAGAAATACTCCAGCCCTCCAATTTCCCACATTTGGTATCAAAGTCCTGTTCATCAAAGCTCTGACAATCTGTACCATCAGGATTACCACTGTCCTCTTCAGAAGCTGTAACCAGAGCAGCAAACTCTGTAATTTATTGTATCTATAAAATACTTACCATGGTCAAAATACAATTTAGCAGACAGAGCTGAAATGTTTTTCTGAACACTGTAACAATGTTTGTAAATTAAAGTCAAAGGAAATCTGTTTTTCATCACTAAAACATCTTAAAGAGGCATAACTTGAAAATGAAAGTCCAGTTGCTGCCATGAAAATAAAAACAAATAACTGGAAAACGGTTTTTGATTTATGTTAGAAATTAAAGTTCAAGTTGATAGATAATTTAAAACAGTTATTTCACATCACAAATGCAAGAACACTGCAGAAAACAGCACGTCGATGAACAAACACAATTTTGGATGATTTTTACTCACATTACCAAGTCAAAATAAATCATTTTGAGTTGATGGAATTTAATAATTTGTTCAACTTGCATGATCAAAATATTTGATCTGATAATGTATTTTATTAAACTTTACACTGAATTTTGTTCAGTGACATTTATGTTGAAAAGAGAGTGAGATCATATTGTCTTCACCCATTGCAAACTTGTTGTAACAAGTTGATACAAACACAGGTCACTAAGCACCCTGGGAAATATAAATACAATATAACCAAATATGGTTTAGGCCAAATGTGCCTAAACCATGCAACATTTCTTCTGATAAAAAGATGTTTGAGGGTTTTTTTTATCTTTGTATCTGTGGTAGCAATCTATTAGACATTTGTACTGTGAAATATTTGCACTGTAACATCATGGTGTGTTGATACAGACTGAAGTATTCATATATAATTTCTTTCTGTCTTCGTACAGCCAATAAAAAAGTCGTCCTGGTCCTGATGCATCACACCAGAGATCCAGACTACTCCACCGCTGGGAGGAGCTGGTCAGAAGTTTATCGGAACGTCGACTTAGAAGTTCATGTCCTCTTCCATGAAAGTGTTCCTGGGTTACTAACCTGTTCTCAGAACACAGATGCAGTGTATGAAATGCAAACCTATCTTCAACCAAGTGGAATTAACCGTTTCTATTTGTGGTGTCGCAGTTGCTGTTCTTGTTTTAGGTAAAACAAAAATCAACAAATGGAACCAGTTAAATCAGAAAGTAATAGCTATGTGTTAATGTCTCAGAGTACCTGTTTGTACAAGTGTAACCATGTATGAAACAAGAAGGTTTGGGGTTCAAACCCTAGAGTTCGCATGTTCCTCCCTGTTCCTCTCCAGGTACCAAGACTTTCTTCTAAAGTCCAAAAAAATCATGAATGTTCCATTAAACTGTGTTCATGTAATTTGTTCAGTCATTTATGAATTTTTCTGGTTTAAATGTGCAAACAAAGTTAAATTTGAATCACCAGTGTCTTAAACTGAACAAGTTTTTCTCACTGATCTTCATAGGTGCGTTAGATTGTTTTTTTTTAAGTGCCTTCAGACACGAGTTGTGTATAAAAATAGAATGAATTAAGATCGACAGAATTGCAACAGATTTTAAACCATGTAACAAACATCCACTTATAAATGTTTTTGACTGTTCATTAATAGGATTGTATTAATATATTAATTAATATATTCAGGTTTTCAATTATTATTTTGGTGGCTATGTTGCTGCTTTTATGTGATGGATGTAGCTGTAGGTGTTTTAATATTAGCATATTCTGAGCTTTTGCCTATCTTGAATGAAGGTGAATTGTATTCTGTTTCCTTGGTAAATAAAGGTGTAAATAATTCAATGCATTTATTTCCTTTTTTTCAAAAAATTGTATCCAGAAGTCAAATTTATTTTGACATTTCAAACTCTAAAATTTCCTTGCTTTTCCAGAAAGATTCTGAGGTTAAAGAAATTCTCAATTTTTCTTCACCACCTATGGCTTTTATATACTGTCATAATTTTTAATTGACCTAATTATAGAGTCTGTATTTCAATCAAAAACCATACACTGACAAAATAGGCATTGTTTTTGATTCAATATCCCTTTTTGTTGCTAAATTATTTAATAAATAGACATATACACTCAACAACAATGCTATTTATTGCTCTAATATGTTATTTGAAATGTGTGTCAGGAACAAATGATCATTCATGTAACTTTGAAAAAACTGCTCAACACTGATATCAGTCTTCTGGATGTTGGTGCTCATGTTTAGCACTGAGATCCTCTTTCAGACTTGAACAGCTCTGCAGACAGTCTATCTTCTCTTAGCACACCTTGAATGCATCAGCAGTCTCTTCCTGTATTCCTTGAAGATGTGCGGCTTTATCATACATGCTTGTTATTTCCTCAGGCTCCAAATCATCTCAGCACTTTGTGAAGTCATGTCCCAAATCAATCATCAGTCTCACAGCTCTCAGGATCAAAGTATCAACATCTGAACATGTCTGGATTTCATGACTATAGTTCTTCACAGGAAGGATGTAGTTTATTGGAATCCCAAAGCTTGAACTGAATTCAGAAATCTACATTAAAAAAAAGTTGTTAAAAGTGATTGAGTTTCTTAGAAGTCCAACTGAAACTTTTTTCTTTAAATATTTGCTCCTGCAGACATTTCTTAAATTTGTCTTGGTATCAATACACGCCTCGTCAATGTTTGTGAGAACAGCCAGTTGAGGAACACCTATGGATACAGAAATGGATCTGTTATTGGAAGAGTGACATTTATATTAAAACTGAAGAATAAATGATTGCCAGTAATTCAAGTCAAACTCATATCCAGAATCATTATTAAGTCAGGGTGAAATTTTTCATGTCATCATTTCAGCCTGTGGCTCAAGAAGCAAAATGTAGTGAATGCCTTCAGCTCATCTGTGTTGTTGATTATGGTGTCACTAATATTCCTCTTGGCAACAATCTATAGATCACACAAGGAGCTCAGATCAAGACACATTGATAGCCATAACAATATATGGCTGTCAATGTGTCGGCGGGCCGTAACTCCGCCACAGAACAACATAAAAATGCAGAACCCACAATGTTTGCTATTCATGAGAGAGAGGCGAATGCAGCACATATAGAGAGAGATGGAGCTACAATGTCAAAAACGGAGCTGTTTTTTTAAAACTCTGCAACCTGGTTTCAAAATCAATAGTTTCTGGTATTCAAAGACACCAAATCCATGTGGTCTAACAGAATAAATGACAAAAAAACTCCAGTGGATACACCTAAACCGCAGTTTTGTGGTACTCGAAGTTGGTCTTGGTCTTAAGACCGGTCTTAAGACCATTTTTTGATGGTCTCGGTCTCGTCTCGGACTCGACCGCATTTGGTCTCGGTCTTGTCTCGGTCTCGGGCTCTGAGGACTCGGCATTTTATTTCAAGACCAGTCAAGACCGCAACTGTGAAAATATCACTAAACGTACAGCATGAGCATACTGTTCACTTTATTTGTTAACATCTTTGTTTTCAGTGGATGCAAAACGCACCGATTAAAATCCAAGCAACTACGTGTTTCTGTTCCCCCCCCCTCCCCTCCCCACCTTTCACTCGCGCGTGGCGCTCCAGGACATGCGCAGTGGTTTCCTCTCAGCGGCAGAAAATGTTTGTCTAATCATCAGTAATAGAATAGCGCTGCATAAATAGTAAGAAATCCGATGGCCACAGCTAACTCAGCAGCGCTTCGCTGTTAATAACAAAGTGTATGACGATCTACGTCATGATTCTATGTTGTTGATTAAATGAAATCTTATGGTAATGACGTGTCTGACAGATATAGCCGGTGTTCTATCACATAGCCATACATGCAGTGAGTACCATGCCAGCGCATGCGCATTAAGAAGTCCGACCGTCAGTGTAGTTGTCAGTATATGCAACAAGTTATGACGAAAATAAGTAATTAAATTGTTTATAATATGACATAATGTGATCACTAGATGGATATACATGCGTTGTTGTGGTTTCAAAGTGTATTTAAAGCAGGTCTGGCTGCAGCTGGATGCCATACAACTGTTAATAACCAAGTGTATGATGATCTACGTCATGATTCTACGTTGCTGATTAAATAAAATCATATGGTAATGACAGTGTATGCATGTCTGAGCTAAGCGTACGACTATCTGACAACGTATGCTGATCTGACAGAACACCGTGAGTTCGTGTTAAGCGTATGACGATCTGACCTGACAGAACACCCGTTCTTTGTTCTTGTA